AGGGACGTGCCTTGGCCTAGGAGGGATGATGGCCTGAGGAAGGGGTCGGGGAGCAGGGTCCTGAGCAGAGGCTGAGGAAGTCTGCATGTCACTTGTGGCTGCTGGGCGACGGGATTTCACCCAGAAAGAGAGGAAATACTGAAATATTTAAAATAGACAGAAACCGTAGCAGTGCGGATCCGCAGGACGGCTGTGTGTGGGGAGCACAGGCCTCGTGTAGGACCAAGGGCGGGCCTGGCGGGGAGCTGCCCCGGGACCTCCTGCTTTCAGGGCTCTCCGCCCAGCAGTCTGGGGTGTGACCCCGCCAGGCCCTTGCCTGAACCGTGTGCTGTAAGTCACCTCTCTGGGCGCATTGTCATCGCCCTCTCCACGACCCCAGCTCAGGGTCGGGGCACATGGGGTGGGGGTCCACCATCCCAGGCCCAGCCCCTCGGCAGCGGGCAGGGACACCTGGTTTGTTACTCACCAGACGACACCACGTAGAATGTTAATTTCATTTCTCAGACTTCGTTCCTTGGCTTTCTTTGAGTAGCACAGTGAGACGGTTGGTCAAGTGAAGGTGTTTTGTCTACATGCCCATAAGCTGTCACTTACGACTAGCCCAGCAACAGCTCACTGTCTGCCCTTACAGGACAGCCAGCAGAAGCACCCATGCCATTGTTCTGGGACCTCACTCCGGGATGGGCTTGGGGGGTCGTGGATCTGAGCTTGCCAGGCTGTCTGGTCTGCTCGCTGCCTCCGCTCACCCCGCTGCCTCCCTGCAGGTGCGCGCCTAGGCCAGATGGGCCAGGGAGGCCGGGCGGGCCAGAGGAGGCCGGGAGGGGGCCTGGGGAAGCCAGTGTATGTTCCAGGAGGCCCTTCTAGACCGAGACTCAGCCACCACGCAGGCCGGGCCCAGCTGCCCTCGTGCCGGCCTCACAGTTCACAGGTGCAGAGAAGCACTCAGACTTCCAGGGTGTTGGTGAATGGAATGAAGAGCTTCTGTCCTGCACAAGGGGGTTGGTCAGCCCCCCGCACAGGGGCCGGCTGTGGGCAGGGGTGACAGGCCTCCCTGACACTGAGGTCACTGGGGAGGGTCTGGGCCCTCCTCCCAGGGCCTCCCAGGGCCAGGCTCACACGCACCGTGACTGGCTGCCTGTCCTGCCTCTCCATCCCTCTCACTGGAGAAGTCAGTACATAAGCTTTAAACACAGGAGAGGGTTCAAACCAGAATTCTCAGTGGCGGGGTACAAGGTGCTCGGGCGGACTGTTGGTGTGTGGCTGGAGACAGGTCGTGCTGGTCAGGAGCTGCGTGTGTGTGTGCTGGGGGGGAGGGGTGTAGGTGGCCTAGTGGCTAGGTCGACCACGGTTTGAGTCCTAGACCCGGACCCAGGCCCATATGAGTGCCCCAAGTCCCGAAAGAAGGGAGGAGGTGTGGACATCCCCTGGGGGCGAGTTCTCGTTCTCTGTCTCTATCTCTCCAGAGTGCACGCACCCTACAGCAAAAATCTAAAAAAAGAAAAGGCAGGCACCGAGCCCGCTAGTCCTGCCAGCCTCACTCAGCCTCCTCAGTCCACAGCGTTATAGCCACAGCAGATGGCGGGTGGCCGGGGCCTGAGCTCGGAGGGCACAGGGCACAGCGGGGCTTCCTGGCCCCTCCGAGCGCCCTCGTGGCTGAACTCGCCTATAACGCCCCTTGTCTCTGCAGCTTTTTTACTGATAAATATTCGACTTTTTTCACTTTCTTCTAGAGTTATGCGTTCACTTTTTCTACTTTTCCAGGCAGTGTTATAATACATGTTTTTCTAGCTTGCCAATAACTTAGTCTGGTTTTTTGTATTTAATTAATGAGGTTACGTAAACAGCACTTACACCCCCAAGTGCATTTCCCTGTGACCCATCCTCCTCACTCCTTTCTGTGTAAATTCTCGCTCTTTATTTGTTGCTGTCCTCCCTGTCTCCTTTCCTAGTACCCCCTCCCGGTTCTAATTCCGGCTGCAGACACCCTTCCCGAGCGTGTCTCAGTCCTCTCGTAATTACGTGCGCCAGATCTCCTTGGTCTAGCTCTCCATCTCTGAGATAACTCGCGGCCTGTCTGTTGCAGCCCCAGCATGTACAATTACAACCGTTTCTCAAAGGTAGGACCCTTACTCTCAGAGAATCACTCCGCCATGTGCTGTTGGTCTTGCGAAACTTATCACGAGGTTTAGACATCTTCATGAAGAATTTCCCAGTCGCAGATGGCATGTGTCCCACACACCGGTCGTCTGTAAACAGGCACAAGGTACTGAGGTGGTCACTTCTGTTTTCCATGGCTCCAGGACCTCCCCAGCTGCAGAAGCAGACGCTCGGCCAGTCTGAACAGAGGCAGACGCACTCTGCAGTTAGGCCCAGCGTGAAGCATGCAGGTGGTGTGTCAGGAACACGGGGCGGGTGGGGGCTCTGGTTGACAGTCAGAGCTGGGCCTCAGGCCCCTGCTGACAGGCCCACACTCCGGCAGGTCCCCTGCCCATGGGGCAGCTCTTGCAGACGACACACGTTTTAGTTAGCGTGAAGCAGAAACAGCTGCAGGCAGCTCACGGCCTGGCAGGGAGCTGGGTTCTGACACTGTTTACGGAGAGTTCGCTCTTGGCACACTCCTTACACTTGGGGTGTAAGAAAGCCACCCTCTGTCCACACGGCACGTAAATTCCCACATGAGAACACAGATTTGTCTACAACCCCAGGCTTGTTTGTTAGCATAGAAGAACATAGCCCCCGCTGGTCCTGAGTGTGTTAGAGAGAAGGAGCGTGCCGAAACTGTCCGGGCTGTGCTGAGTCTCAGGTTGCCCCGAGAAAGTGAGGCTTGCTGGCCCACCGAATCGGCGTAGTAACCCCTTCAGCACTGACTTGGCGGCTGTGCGTGCTGGGCGTGGCAACCTGACCGCGTGGTTAGGAGTACTTGGTCCCCAGAACTGTCTCCCAGACACAAGAGGTTCCGAGTGCGAGCACGGTATCCGCGATTTCATGTCGCATGTCCGTGGGGCTGGCACACGCTTTTGTCCTCACGTCTCCTCCGAGCAGTGTGCTCGGTCACAGCCACACCCTCTTCCTGCCCCGAGTCTCACCGCGGAGGGTCTCTGCTAGGACCAAGACCTTTATTAGGGACGGGGACGGCACTCATGCGGTATCTTCCCACAGCTCACTCTACACTCTGAAACAATTTGAAAGAAAGCTACAGTACTTTTATTTATCACGTTATTTCTGTCTGGAAGATCTCAGCAGTGAAGTATGGTGTACTCCGATGTAGGTCCTTAGTTGTTTTGTTTTACAGAGTCTTGAGTAAGATTTAAGTTAAAAAAAAAATGGTGTTTCTGTAACCATATTGTTTAACCAGGGGATTTATTGGTTTGATTATGAAGAAGATGAAAGCCATAGTAAAGAATGATTTTAACACTTTAAATTCTGTAGATATCTTAGCAATTACTGGATATGACTATAAGGTGAATGGTAGAATAATTGGATGACTTTTAGAATCCGGTTATTGTATGATATCAGCTCTGGAAAAATATCTGAAATGCGTTATCTGTTAAGCGGTTGGTGGACCAGCTGGTGGCATGGTAGTTGAGGCAGCTGGGTCCCTCATGGCTGACTGCATGGTTCGAGCACTGAACCCGGGGCTTACAGAACATGCCGGTGTGTGTGCCTGTCTGCCCAAGTCCCGAGAGGAGAACGGAGGAGGGATCGGAGTGTAGCTAATCCTCGGGGGGTGTTTTCTCACGTTCCCACTCTCTTTCTCTCTCTAGCAAGTGCACACACCCTAGCAAATGAGAAAAGTAATGAACGGTTAGTAATGTACGCTAAGTTCTGCTGTTTTTCAGACAAAGAGCTTGTACTTTTTCCAGACGCTCTTTGCACTCATCCTTCACGGACTGCAGAACTAGACAGGGTTTAAAGCGCTGCGGTGAAGTCACGCCTCAGACTCGCATGCCCTCTGCCTGGCTGCGAACCCAGGAGCTGTTGTGCAGACCCGGTTTATTTCACAACGGCATCAAGTCGGCCACAAGCTCCACGAGGTCGCCCTGCGCTCTCCCTTCCCCTGCAGGACAGCGACCCTATAGGGTATTCAGATGAGGACAACTTCTTTCTCATTTTAGAGAGGTTTTTGACGTAGGGCATGTGTGCTCTCCAGAGAGAGAGAAACAGAGACAGTGAGAGGGAAAGTGAGAAATCACCCTGGGGAGATGGCTACGCTGCAGTCCCTTCTCTTCCATCATCCTTCTGGGATCTTGGGCATGCACACACATGCGCCCGACATGATTTCAAAGCCACCAGGTCTGGCACTTGAACTGCAGTCTGCCACATGGGAGCCCAGCAATGTTGCCGCTTCACCATCTGCTGGCTTGATGCTTTTTTCTTAATGAACCCCTAACAGTGTGAGCAGAGACAGCTGGAGCACGCAGGGTGGGACTCGGAGGAAGGCTGCATGTCCCAGGTGTCAGGTGCGTATTCACAAACGGGATGTCAGATGAGGTTTCAGTTTAAGATCGCTGTTCAGTGAATTTGGAATTTGTTAACAGCAGAACTGGAGGGCTTGACATAGAGGTCTCAGTTTCCCCAGCCTAGCCATGGTGCTATAGGCAGTTGGGCTGGTGGTGTAGACCAGTGCTGATACTGGGCCGTCGACGAGGCCCTGCGTTCATGTCCTGGCTCAACTCTACCTGTGGGCAGGACTGTGACCCTGGCCTTCTGGACAGCAGAGCAGGGCCACGGCATGGTGATGTCCTGTCGAGGGTGCCCGCTCTCACACTCACTCCTCTAGAAAATAAAGACATTAATTTCAAAGGAGAAGGGAAGGGAGCCTCGCGTTTCTCCACTGGGAGCTACGGTCTGGGTGCAGCGATCCGGGACCTCGTGCTGCACCATGGGCTGTGCTGGGCTGTCCCTGCCGCAGCCCAGGGCTGGCACGTCCCATACGCTGGCCGGAAGCAGGTGGTAGCCCCAGTGCCGGCAGCGCTGATGCCCACCCTGTCCCCGCACAGGTACGACTTCGTGGAGGTGGAGGAGCCGAGCGACGGCACGCTCTTAGGCCGCTGGTGTGGCTCCGGCGCCGTGCCAGGGAAGCAGGTGTCCAGAGGGAACCAGATCAGGATCAGATTCGTGTCCGACGAGTACTTCCCCGCCGAGCCCGGGTTCTGCATCCACTACAGCATCGTCCCGCCCGTAAGTACAGCCCCGGCCATTCCTGTAGCCTCGCCCCTCTGCCCGAGTTGGAGCCCAGATTGAGCCTTCCCTGTGAGTGTGACTGAGAGCCGGCGTGTCCCCAGTCGCCAGCAGCGACCAGCACCCATCAGTGTGAGGAGGTGCTCTGCCCACTCCCTGCGGCTCCTCCCCCACGGTCTTCAGAGAGTGTGTGGGTCGTGCCCGGGTGGGAGAGCACGCTGTTTTCTGGTAGCGGGGTAAGCCAGCGTCTGGGTCCCATTTTCTCACGGCTTGTTTAGGGCCCCTGGAGCCCGAGGGCCGGGCTGCAGCACTCCGTGACCCAGCCATACTGAGCCGGTGCGCCCGTAACCCTGTCTCAGAGCCCTGTGCCTGGTGGTGGTGAGGCCCCAGGGTCCATGGGACACTGACCAACATGGCCTCTGGGTATGTGCTGCCCATAGACTGTCACTGCACCAGCTCTGAGGGGCTGCGGGGCTGCGTGTGGTGCTGGCCCTGGGGGTCCACTCAACACATCTTTTTTTTTTGTCAGAGAGGTTTTTTTTGCTATAGGGCGTGTGCGCTTGCCAGAAAGACAGAGACAGAGAGACAGAAAGCGAGAAATCACCCCCCAGGGGGGATGGCCACGCCACAATCCCTTCTCCTCCATTCTCCTCTTGGGATCTTGGGCACGCATGCACATGCCTGGCGTGAGTTTAAGCCACTGGGTCCAGGACTCGAACTGCGGTCGACTACGTGGGAGTCCAGCAACATAGCCATTAAGCCAACTGCTGGTCCTCCACTTAGCACATTCTGACGTGGCTGTTGGTGGAGGCTGGGACATGGTGCACGTGGCCCTGGGCAGCTCTCTTGGCCACAAATGCGACCTGCCCCGCTGCAGGGAGAGGGATGGGGAGAAAGGAGGGGCCTCGTCATCATGGGCCTCGCACAGGAAGCAGCTCCGACACAGCTGCGTCGCCCTAGGACGTGGCCCTCTGGGGAGTCACTGCAGAGAAAGGGCCTGCCTCGCAGGCTGTCTGCAGCGTGTCAGTCCTCCGGTGTGTCTCTGCGCTTCCCCACTGCCCGGCCGGGCTCCGGCCGTGGTCTCTGAACCACCCACTGCACTCCAAGCGGCTGCCCGCGAAGGGTGGCTGCAGTGAGACAGGTCTGAGTGCGCAGGCCTGGCGGAGTCCAGGTTCTCACTGCTCAGCGCCCCAGCAGTCCCGGCAGGGCCCGTTCACGCAGCGTCCCCAAGTGCTTGGGCCTGGAGGCCACACATGCTCCTCGGACACAGCCGCATGCTCCGTGCTCCGCCAGCCCCCACCCCCAGCCGCATCCACTCTGATGGCCGGCGTCTGTCCTTGCTGTGGGTGGGCGTCCTCTCCCTCATCGTGAGCCCACGAGGGCATCCTCCCGGTGGGTCTGCGCTGGCTGTGCGCCAGCCCCTCCTGTCCCCAGCACGGCGGGGGCCCCGAGTGTCTGAGCCGACTCTGACTGGCCATCTGCTGCCGTGGAGGAGGGAGAGCTCACTAGCAAGGGAGCTGTGCCTGACAGCAGGTGCCCGACATCAGGTGCCCGACAGTGGGAGACCGTGCCTGACAGCAGGGGACTGCGCCTGAGAGCGGGGGGACCGTGCCCGACAGCGGCCTGCTCCTGTGTCCGGGCTGTCCCCTCTGGCCAGGGCCCTTCGTGGCCTCCTCAGAGTGTGCCCCAAGTGCAGGCTGGCGCCGTGGGGCTGGGGCACTCAGTGCCGCCTGATGGCCGGGCCGTCTCTGTCGGCTCCCCAACGTTCACCTGCTCCATCGCCAGCCCAGAATGTTCCCCTCTGCAGACACAAAAGAATGACGTTTTAAATGAGGCCGGACACATTTGTTTATGAGACGGATTATGGACAGCTTGTTTGACACGCAAATTCGTGAAGCATTCCATAGTTTTTAAATGAGAAACCAGCCGGTCAGGAGCCCGGAGAAGGAGACTGTGGAGTGGTCAAGCCCCCGGGGGTCACTCCTACGTCCCATCTCTCTCCCTCTGTCTCTCGCTGTGTCTCTGGCAATGCACATACACTGTAGTGAAAAATAAGAAAAAGTACACTCGCTTTGAAAAACAACTTACTCATTCTCTTTTTCCTTCAACTAATGAGTAATAAAGCACCTAGTTAAAAAGGGATGCCTCGGGAACCAGCAGTTAGCGTAATGGCTATGTCGCTGGACTCCCACGTAGTCGACCGCGGTTCGTGTCCCGGACCCGGTGGCTTAAAACTCACGCCGGGCGCATGTACGTGCGTGCCGACGATCCCAAGAGGAGAATGGAGGAGAAGGGATTGCGGCGTGACCATCCCCCCTGGGGGGTGATTTCTCGCTTTCTGTCTCTATGTCTCTCTCTGTCTGTCTGGCGAGCGCACGCGCCCTACAGTGAAAATCTCTCAAAAAAAAAAAAAAAAGGATGCCTCATCATTTTGCATAAAGTGATGTTGCTCTAACATTAAATGTTTTATATATGTTTTATAAATGTTTTTATGTAATAACTTCATTATTTTCTTGATTTTGAAGTACCTTAAAATAAGCCACAAATGAATTTTTTCTCCCTATTTTATGGGTTTTATAGGATGTTTAGTTTTAAAAATAACTCTAGCATGAATTTTACCTGAAATTATCGCTAGTTATGGATCTTGTTCTTAAAAAAAATTAGATTTTCCACATACATTTGAAGTTTTGGCATTTTAATGCTATTTCAGTGGATTATTTATGGGAATATTATTCCCCAATCTTGCCCATTCTTAAATAATGAGGAAAAAATCCATGCACATTGATACCAAATGAGTGTATTCTGCTTTTATGGTTGTACCTAAGGAGTTAATAATGCTTTAATTTTTTTTCCTTCCTGCTAAAAGAGGCAGAGAGAAAGCCTGGTAGGTTAGCAGTGAGGGGTTGTTTGGGAAGAAATGAAGCAGAGCCGAGAGGAGGCGGTGCAGGCCGGTTTTCTGCCGGAGGCCACACACGACGGCAGCCGCGGGGTTTGGAGCGTGGGCAAAGAGGAGGTCGTGTTTAGTTTTGGACGTCCTGACACGCGGCGTGCTGTACTCCGAGCCTAGCCGCTGGTCACAGTGCTGACAGGCCTGCAAGGATGGGACTCCCCCTTCCTCTCTGAGAGCCCTCACTAAGGGCTTCGTTTCTCAGCCTTAATGTGACAAGTAACAAAATTGGTGTCAAAACTTGCTCCAAAACCATTCTTATTTTTTAAATAAAATATTCAAATACAAATTCGAATCTTTGTAGCGGTTCCATCTCCACACGTAGAACTGCTCCTCCTGGGTACGATGCTGCCCATCTTTTCTAAACGGCTGTAAGCCTGGCTGACCCTTTTTCTCCTAATATGGTTCATATGAGGGTGGAATAAACCACCACCAGTTTCTCTTAACTGTTTTCTTAACTACTCTATTTTTAAAGTGTTTTAATCTAAGGTTTCTGACCGAAAGCGTCAGGTAGTATTACAGCAGTGTGCTGCCTCCTCTCTCCCCGAATGAGGGGTCGCTGCCACAGACACCCCAGCACTGTCCAGCCTGGCCCCTTTCTGAGTCACCTGCAGAGGTGGCGGTGGGGGGCTATGAACGGCCAACAGAACTTGTCTTCACGTTGCTTTAAGTTGTGCTGTTTTCCTGATTACACGTCAGAGCACCTGCCCTCAGAGGTGCAGGAGAGAAAACGAGAGAGAAAGACCCTCCTGTGGCAGTCCCGCTGCAGTCCCCTCTCTTGTCCCCGTTGGAGATTTGGGGCCCACACCCAGGCCTGGTACGTTTCTCTAGTCTCCGGGTCCAGGATTCGAACCATGCAGTTAGCCATGTGGTGTCCAGCCACCTCAGCTGCCTCACCACAGGCTGGCACTTTGATTGTACATGTGTGTGTGTGTATGCACATGTGTGTGCCCATGTGCATCTGCACATGTGTGCATGTGCATGTCTGTACGTGCATTCCATGTGTGCGTGTGTGCATGTCTGTGCGCATGTGTGTTTGTGTATGTGTGTTTGCATGTTCGTGCGTGCATGTCCGTGCATGCGTACATGTGCTTGTGCATGCATATGTGTGTTTGCATGTCCATGCGTGCATACATGTGCGTGTGTGTGTGTGTGTGTGTGTGTGCAGTCGTAGCCCTCGTCTGCGCGTTGAGCTGTGCCGAACCCTGTGTCCGGTGGGGTCTAGCTAAATGGCAGTGTGGAACAGCTGGCGGCCGTGTCCCCATGCCCACCTGTGCCTCTCTGTCATAGGGGCCTGTGAGCGGTGTTGGAGGCGGGTGGCGGGGGAGCAGCAGTGGTGTCTGGTTTCCGTGGGAGGGCCGCCAGACGCCCAGGTGCCCTGCGGGAGTGACTGATTGCCGAGTGGGTTTTGATGACACCAGGTTGGAGAACAAAGGCCAGTGCACGGCCGGCGGGAGCTGGGCAGGGCGGCCCGGACTCACGGCCTGCAGCGAGTGATTTTGCTGCTCCATCCCGTGGAGGAAGTCTGGCCAGAGGTCAAGCCCGCCTTACACTTGGGCTCAGGGCGGTTAGACCAACACTCCCGTAAGGCTTCCACGTCAGTGGTTCTTTCTTACTAAGAAAAAACAAGCAGTCAAACAAGCCAGGGGCCCTAGGTGGTATGGAAATTAAGTGCTAGACTCCCACGTGGCTGCCCTCGGTTTGCGTCCTAGTGCCAGCAGCTTGAAAAATGCTTGGCCGTTAAATGTGTGCCCAAAACCGCAGGGGAGAAGGGATTGTGGTGTGACCGTCCCCCGGGGGGGTTTCTCGCTTTCCCTCTGACTTTTTCTTCTCTCTCCGGAGGGTGCATGTGCCCTGTGGCAAAACTCCAGGTGGAAATAAGCAGCCAGTGGTCCTGGAACTCAGAACGGTGATGGGTCCTTAGGAGGGGCCCTAGTGGAGAAGCAGCTCAGAGCTTTCCCAGCACGGATCTCCGTGACAAAGCCCACTGCACCCCCACGTCAGTGCGCTGAGCTGATCTTAGTAAGTGAACGTGTTCGAAGTGTCTTTCAAA